TATTGATTCCCTGTACATTTTCCTTTATTTTACTTAGCATAGCCTTCATTTTTTCATCTAATTTGGTACCAAATTCAACCAATTCTGTGAGCATCCTGATCACCAGTGCTTTGAGCTGTGCATCCTGATAGGTTAGCTATCTCTTCGTTGCTTAGTTGCATTTGTTCTGGAGCTTTGATCTGTTCTTTCATTTGGGCCTTTTTTTAATCTTGATGTGCTTGTTACTTAGTGAGGGGTGGAGCATTATATATTCGCTCAGGAGGGGAACCCACGTTGCTTCATCATAACTCTGTATGAAGAAGCAGAGTTATGGGGAAGCAGTCTGAGAGGGAACAATGGCACTTGCTCTGCTCTCTGCCAGCTTTCGGTCTTTCCCGCTTCCCACAAGCAAATTGGGCCCTTCTGGTGCTGATTCCCAAGTGGATGGGCTTGTGTATGTTCTAGGACCCTGTGGGTCTCTCCAATGAACTCTCTTGTAAGGTTGGGAGTTTCTCTCTCTGCTGCCTCAACCCCTACAGGTGTTTCCAGTCAGTGGTTGAAGTTTTATTTTCCCATGCTGGAGCTGTGGGTTGTGGGGTCTGTCTCACTCCCCAGTTATTCCTCCTGGTTTATCTGCATGCAAATGTGGGACTGCCTGCTCCATCAACCACTGCTGTAGTCTTGCCGGCCAGCTGCAGCCTTGTGTGCCCTGTTTTACAATCTAGTGGTGGGTCCACAAGCCACTGCCTTGCCCACCCTGGTCCTCCACCACCACTTTGCCAAGAGTCTTCTCTGAGTGCCCATTTCTGCCCCTCCTACTGGTCTGGATGAATGTGTCTACTTTAACTCCTTAGGTGTTGAACTTCGATACGATTCGATTGTCTGTCAGTTCTGGTTGGTTTTTGTTTTTAAATTGTCATCATCCTTTTGGTTGTGCAACGAAGCACAGTGTCTACCTATGCCTCCATCTTGGCCAGAAGTCCTATAAAATAGTTTTAATATATCTACCATACCTCCTTTCTCCCCTGAAAAGGTAAAACAAAAACATTAAAATGCCCATAATTATTATCTTTATGTTTTGGAACCATGTATTGATTTCTTTTTATATGTTTCCTGAACTTTGCCTATAGTTTAATACATCTTTAACTGTTCCAATGTATCACATTTAATTACCCACAGATGCTTACTAGATAAAGAGCTAACTTTCTGAAGCCCTTTTAACCACTTCTCCCTGCCACCCGATGCATTACATAAGACTCTCCACTGGGCCCTAGTCAACTTTAAGAAGGGAAACACTATATGCCCTTTCAATGACACCTACCAATGTCTTAGTTGCGTATCAGAGATTCTTAGCCCAGCCAGCCTAGAATGGATGAATATATACTACAAGGATGTAAAAGATGAGGTGACTGCACTAGGTCATCTTATAACTTAGTGGTAGAACTAAGGCCACCTGAGTCCTTGTATATGCCACATTGCCCTTTCCATTTGTGTAAATTATTCTTGCAGCTAACCTCACCCACTTGTGCTACAATTTGGTCACATGGGTTCTTGCTCTTACACAAGCAACCAAGCTGTCAACCAGTAAAACTCTAGTTGTGGATTCTGATGCCATAAGTGTATATCATACTGCCTTTAAAAATGATTTATTTTAGTCATCAAGCTGTGGTTTGTTAGAGCCTGCATACCTGACTTCCTCCTTTTAGAGAAAGTGAGATTAAAGCTAAGGGATGTTAAGAAAAACACAGGACTTCTTGTCAAGATGGAGGCATAGGTAGACACACTTTGCCTCTTTGCACAATCATAAGAAAGATCACAAATAACCTCAAAACAAGGAATACCTAGAACTGTCAGAAAATCAAACTGTATGGCAGTCCGACAACCAAAGATTTTAAAAAGTCATATTCATCCAGATGGGTAGGAGGGGCAGAGGCGGGAGCCAAGAGGGAGGGGACATGGCATGGCAGTGGCTAGGTGGAGGCTGAAAGGCAGCAACCAGCAGAACAGAGGGTCCCACATTCATGTGTGGTGGATAAAAACTGGGAGGGATACCTTGGGAACAAGAGATCCCCGCCCTAGGACAGACTGCGAAGCCCAGGCTTCCGGTGCCAGGAAAATAAAGCCTCATAGCCTCTGGCTGTAAAAACCACTAGGGGTTGGGGTAGTGGAATAAATTGCTGGTTTCTCAGGAGAGTCCATTTAAAGGGCCCACATGGTCCTAAAATGTATGCAAATCCACCCACTCTGTGAAACACCAGGGCAAGAGCTAGAAGGGTGCCAGTCACATATGGAAGTAGGTGAAGAGACAGGAAATAGGATGAGTGCTGAGCAAGGCTCCAGCAGCCAGGCAGCAGCACTGTCCCCTTGCCAACCCCTCCCCCACATACAAAGCCACAAAGTGGTGAAGTGGGTTACCACACCCTGGCGAATACCTAAGGCTCTGCCCTATATAACTTAACAGGTGTGCTAAGACAGGGAATCAAAGCAGCTCTACCTAATACACAGAAACAGACACAGGGAGGCTACCCAAACAAGGAGATGAAGAAATATGGCCCAAATGAAAGAGCAGAACAAGACCCCAGAAAAAGAACTAAACCAAACAGAGGTAGCCAATCTAGCAGATATAGAGTTCAAAACACTGGTGATAAGGATGCTCAGAGAACTCACTGAGTATGACAAAAGCATAAAAGAAGTGAAGTCTACACTAAGTGAAAGATAAATCCACAGGGAACCAATGGTGAAGGGAAAGAAGCTGGGGTTCAAATGAATGATTTGGAACCCAAGGAAGAAATAAACAATTAACCAGAACAGAATGAAGAAACAAGTGTTCAAAAAAAATAAGGAAAGAATAAGAAGACTCTTGGACCTCTCCAAAAGGTCCAACATTTGAATCATAGGGGTGCCAAAAGGAGAAGAAGAAGAGGAAGAAATAAAAAACTAATTTGGCAAAGGAAATAGTCATACAAGTCCAGAGAATACCAAACAAGTTGGACCCAAAGAGGACCATACCAAGACATAATTAAGATGCCAAAGGTTAAAGATAAACAGAGATCTTAAAAGCAGCAAGAGAAAAGCAGAGAGTTACCTACAAGGGAATTCCCATAAAACTATTAGCTGATTTCTCAAAAGAAACTTTGCAGGCCAAGAAGAAACTGGTAGGAAGTATTCAAAGTGATGAAAAGCAAGGAACTACAACTAAGATTACTCTATCCAGCAGAGCTACCATTTAGAATGAAAGGACAGATAAAGTGCTACCCAGACAAGAAAAAACTAAAGGAGTTCATTATCACTAAGCCATTATTACATGAAATGTTGAAGGGACTTAATTTAAGAAAAAGAAGATCACAACTATGAATATTAAAATGACAACAAACTCACAACTATCAAGAACCTATTCTAAAAAACAAAAACTAAGCAAAAACTAGAACAGGAACAGTATCATAGATACGGAGATCATTTGGAGGGTTATCAGTGAGAAGGGGGAGGGGGAGAATGGGGTCAGGGTACTGGGATTAAGAAGCATAATTGGTAGGTACAAAATAGACAGGGGGAGGTTAAGAATAGTATAGAAGATAGAGAAGCCAAAGAACTTATATGTACAACCTATGAACATGACCTAAAGGTGGGGGATTGCTGGAGAGAAGGGGGATACCAGGCAGAGGAAGGTAAAGGGGAAAAACTGGGAAAACTATAATAGCCTAATCAATAAAATATACTTAAAAAAAGAAAAACACAATGTCTTGTTATTTCCAGTATAATGCTCCTCATTCATTCATTCATCCACTCTCAAACATGTATTAAGTAAGTGTCTGCTATTTTCAAGATTCTGTGTCAGGTAGACTATTTGGAAATTGTAAGAATAAATTAAGTACAACAATAATCATCCAAAAGCCATACAATTGAGTGTTGGAGATAAGGTTCTCAAAAAACTGTTCTTCCTGGCATGTTAAAGTTAAAATAAAAGACATCAGCTTTCTATATATCCCCCAGCAACTGATCCAGTCTCTATGGTGTTTTGTTTGTTTGTTTGTTTTTTCATGAGCCCTTTGTCTAGATAGAGGGGACATAGGAGATCAGGCAGAGAAGCAGGGAGACAGGGGATCTGTTGGAAAAGGCGTGTGATCCTAGTTGGAAAAGAGCCATGTGTAACTTTACAGGAAAGACTTCTGGGGGCCAGATTATGAGCCATGAATTTCAGGCAAAGGAGATTAAATTTTACACACTGGGCGTGGATGCCTCAGGCAGGTCTCAGCAGGAAATAGAGGGTTTACAGAAGGGGTGACAAAGCATTTTACAAGTTTTTACTGCTTACAAAGACAGCAAGGTTAGGCAAGATCAACAAGAGTACTCTGGAATTAACAAAAGCAGGAAACACTTAACCATCCCTAGGCCTGAAGCAGAAAAAGAAGGATGCAGTCACCAGAACCCTGGTGAGGACAGCAAGAGGAAAGGGACACCTGCAAGGAGCTATGGGCTTTAACGGAGGGATAAACTCAACCTGTGAACTGTCTGGGAGGTTGCTGAGAACGAATACCCCAGCCTCACTCTGCCACCTGATGTGATCTCCTTTCTCTCCTAGGCCGAGAAAAAGAATGGGTTGAAAGCCAGGGGACTGAGAGCCCAGTGTTGAAGTCCACAATGTCAACCTCCTGGGACGTGAGCAGCATAGAGCAGGGTGGAGGCTGAGTCCTGGGAACAAACAAATATCTGGCACAGTGAGGAACTATAAACAATTCTGAACAGGGGAGCCCTGTGAACTATGCTTCAGTAGCACTGAGCTGTCTGCAATCCAGAGAACAGAGGGAAGAAGGCTCTTGCCATAGGTCTGAAGAGAGAGGTTAAAGACGGATTTAGGGCAACAGTAGAGGGGGTAGAAAGAAAGGTTTTGAACCATGCTACCTCCATATAGATGAGCTTTTCCCCCTAAAGTCGTTTCTCCTTCACTCCAGTCTGGTTTTGGAGAAGTCCTTTATTTTCTGATCAGAAATGTAATTTTCCTATTTGTGGACTTTTCTCCTCAGATTTGAACCTGTGTCTCCAGAGCTGAGGTGAGTTGATGAGACATCCTCAAGAAGCTTCTGGACCTTGGATGAGAATCCTCTGGCCCACAGAACATGTTTGTAATTTTCAAATGCCTTGTATGACCCAGCACTTTAATCTGGAGACTGCAACAAGACTAGTTGGCCCCTGGCCATGGTGTGCTTAGAGGAAGTCAGGCAGCCCTCCGGCTCTCATCTCTGCAGCCTGTGATGGAGTGAGCACTGTTGCACTTTAGAAGATGACCACTTTGGATCCTGGACCCCAGTGAGTGTCCTGAGGCTCCTTCTTGCTGTCAGACTGAAGAATTCCAAAGTAATTTCTAGAAACAGAGATAAGTGGAAATTTTCATTACAGAAGAAGACAGATTGCCAATAGAGTTATTTTTATACGTTGTTCCCTCTGTATACCGGAAAAACCTGTCAAGAATGTCAGATCACAGACAAGGCTTTATACAAAGTCAAGCCATAATTTACATGTTTTATGGCTTACTGGAATCCTGAATGCATTTGAGTTGTTCTAATGAACAGAAAGCATGTAAGTACACAGAGTGGCCAACTACAAATTGTGGAGAAAAGTCACTGAGAATTTTTGTGAGGTCTAAATCACAGAGCATTTATTTCGCCTGTAATGGCACCATGTTGACTGGTGACTTTTTGTTGTTGTTCTAAACTACATGTTTCTTTCCATAAATTCTGGGTTTTTTTTTTATTAACCTTGGAAACCAGTGATATACATTTAAAAATTTTGGCATGCAATTATGCTGCAAGGATCTCAGATGAGTAGCATAATGGTCAAAGCCCCAACCAAAGGCTTATTTCCTGGCCCTGTATATGACTATTTTTTTAAGTGCCATATCAGATTTTACTTTTAAGTTTTAATATTTAAGTACTTTTAAAATTTTAAAATAATTTCAAACTTACCACAAATTTTTAAGTATACAAAGATCTTTTTTTTCCTGAACCATTCAAAATATCAGCACTGGCTGAGTTAGTGTGCACCTCTGACATGAAAGAACATTCTCCCATGTAATCACAAGATAACCATCTATTGGGGTTTATGACTTTAAACTTACCCTTGAGTAGTTTAGTTTCCACATCTGTGAAACTAGCTACTCAAGGCCTTTGATTGTTGGCACTATTCAAATCCCGTTGTGTGTATGTCAAGATGGGGTCGGGGGTGGGTAACTAGGCACAGCAGCAACAGTTTATTCATGTTAAATTTTATATCTGTGATGGAGCCATGAAACTCAAGGCATTAGTTGACCCATGAACCATCCATGTGTGTGTGTGTGTGTGTGTGTGTGTGTGTGTGTGTATAAAGGGGATTCCTTGGTAATCCCTTATGTGCCAGCCGCTATCCTTTGCTAAGTAGACAGTGCCTGGACCCTATCAGAGCTGCAGAATGTTTCTCCTGAATTCTACTCCTAAGGGATTTCCAAGGAATTTCCAGCTATGTTATACCAGCATCAGTTTCAAGTACCATGTACGGGATCTATTCTACACAGAATACCTCCTTTCTGGAACCTCACTTCTCCCTGGCAAAATTCTATCCACCCTTCAGATGCTAGTTCTGCCAGTGAATATTTTCTGATTTTCCCCAACTGAATATGAGCTCTTACTTCAGGCAGAGGAATGTTTTCTCTGTTCCTCTCTGGAGAGCTTCTTTCTCAGTGTTAAATTACGTGCATTTAAGCACTTGTCCTGTTTCCATCTTGCAATGTAAGTTCCTGGAAAGCAGGGAAATTGTGGGATTTTTGTCATTCGTGGGACATCTTGCATGTGATAGACACCTCATGCATGATTGGCTATGAGAATCATTATAATATTGAGAATGGCTACACTTTTTAATCTCAGTATGATTGGTTAAAAAGTATATACATGGCCATCTTTAAAATAAAAGTACTAGATGAGTTTTAAGTTAAAAAAAAGTACCTTTTACAGAGGAAGCAAAAATGGCATTTGGGAGAGTTTAAGGAATTGAGAAAGAGCCTACAAACAAAAATCACCTATGATCTCATCATCCAAGCAAATATATTTTCACTTTTGCTGTCGGTATTTGTTCTTCATCCAGACATGTACGGAATTTCAGCTATAGCTGTAACATGTAATCTTCTATCCTGTTTTCAGATTTGTCATTGTATCATAAGCTCACACCTATATTGCTGACTGGTCTTCCTAATTACCCTTTTTAATGATCTATGATGATGAAATCGAATTGGGCCCAAACTCCACTTAACACCTGGCCACTATACACTATTCTTCCCTTATCTATGGAAGATGCCCTGTGGATGCCTGAAACCACAAATAGTGCTGATATTTACTGCTTGTTTCCTACACAAACACAACTATGATGAAGTTTAATTTATAAAGTAGGCACAGTAAGAAATTACAACTAAAGTACAGAACAACCATTATTCAGAAACACCAGATATCAAGATGAATGGAGTTCCTACAACTACAGAATTAAAGAAACCACACTGAGACTGGTAAGAGGGAGTGCAACAGTCTGGTCCCACATCCACATGTGGCAGTAAAAATTGGGAGGGATATCTAAGGAGTGAGAGGTCCCAGCAATCAAGGTTTGACTACAAGAGGATGGTGTACACAGCCCACACAGTGGGTGCACCTGGAGTACCCAGCTTGGGTGATCAGGAAGGCTGTGCCACTGGACTCTACAGGAGGACACCTACTATAGCAGCTCTGCCTAATACAGCAAAACAAAAACAGGGAAGCTGCCAAAATAAGGAGACAAAGAAACATGGCCCAAATGAAAGAACAGATCAAAACTCCAGAGAAAGAACTAAACAAAATTTAGACAAGCAATCTATTAGCCACAGAGTTAAAAACACTGGTTATACGGATGCTCAATGATCTCAGGAGAAGAGCAGATGAACTCAGAGAGAACTTCAATAGCATAAAAAAGGTCATGGAAACCATGAAAAAGAACCAGTCAGAAATGAAGAATACACTAACTGAAATGAAGAATAATGTATAGGGAATCAACAGTAAAATGAATGAAAGCAATATAAAAAATACCCAATCAGAACAACAAAGAGAAAAAAAGAATAAAAAAATGAGGATAGTTTAAGGAACCTCTGGGACAACTTCAAGTATTTCAACATTCACATCATGGGGGTGCCAAAATGAGGTTAGAGAGAACAAGAAATTGAAAGCCTTTTTGAAAAAATAATGACAAAAACTTCCCTAAAATGGTGAAGAAAATGGACATACAAGTCCAGAAAGCACAGAAAGTCCCAAACAAGGTGAACCTAAAAAGGCCCACACCAAGACACATAATTAAAATCACAAAGGTTAAAGACAAAGAGATAATCTTAAAAGAGAAAAGCAGTTAGTTACCTACAATGGAGTTCCCATAAGGCTGTCAGCTGATTTCTCAAAGGAAACCTTCCATGCTAGAAAGGATTGGCAAGAAATATTCAATGTCATGAAAAGCAGGGACGTACAGCCAATATTACTCTACCCAGCAAAGCTATCATGTAGAATCAAAGGGCAAACAAAGAGCTTCCCAGACAAGAAAAAGCTAAAGGAGTTAGTTCATCATCCCCAAACCATTATATAAAATGTTAAAGGAAATTATTTAAGAAAAACATGATCAAAACTGTGAGCAATACGTCAATAAATACATATAAAAAAACAAAATAAGCAAATGAGCAGAACAGAAATAGAATTATAAATACAGAAAACACTTTAATGGTTACCAGATGAGAGTCAGAGGAATGGGCAAAAAGGGTGCAGGGATAAGAAGTACAAATTGGTAGTTACAGAAGAGTTATGGGGGTGTAAAATATAGAATAGGAAATGGAGTAGCCAAAGAACATACATGCATGACCCATGGACCTGGACAATAGTGTGGGAACTGCCTGAAGGGTTGGTGGGGCTGGGCGGAGGGGGGCAAAGGGGAAAAAATTGCGAAAACCATAATCAACAAAATACAATTAAAAAGAAAGTAAAAACAACAATTGTATCAATATACTCTAATAAAATTTATGTGAATGTAGTCTCTCTTGAAAATATCTTACTGTTCTCATTTTTTCGCTTAAAGGAAATATTTTACATGTTTTATTTGGCATGTCCTAATTTCCAGCATCACTACTCTGATTTGTGGGCTGTTATTAAGTAAAATAAGGTTACTTGAACACAATCACTGAAATACTGTGACAGTCAATTTGATAACTGAGATGGCTACTAAGTGACATATCAGCAGAGAGCAAATACAACAAAGATACAATGGACAAAGTATTAATGGATATGACAGGAAATCGCAGGTCGGGGTGACATTTTATCACGGTACTTAAAAGGGCTCACAATCGAAAACTTATGAAGTGTTTATATCTGAAATTTTCCATTTAATATTTTCATACCACAGTTCACTGCCGGTAACTAAAACTGTGGGAAGTGAAACCACAGATAAGGAGGACTTTCGTAAGCCCCTATTTTGACCAGTGGACCACAGTGGCACTTGGGAGTTCCTAAACATTAGTGTCATTTCAGAGTAGTGCTTAGGAATCCCTGAAAAGTCCGGGTATTTCCATTTCTCCCAATGCACAGACACCTTAGTAAATGACTTCAAGCCCCTTTGGGGATGGCTTGGAGGAAGACCTACCATAAATCTCTGTGGCATTATTGCAGGGTCCTTTCTCAAGGGGGTCTCATCTTTCTCTTCAACCAGGAGCTTCAGATCTGTGAACTGATAAGGTCCGGGAATTGAAAAAGCTTTGATTCTCAGGGGTGAGAACTCAAGTAAGATTTCTATTCCATAGATCAAATAATGCTTTGGTAGTCTGGCCATATGTTTAATTGTTAGGATCAATTACCACCAGAGACCCCTTTAAGTAACAAATTCTGATTGTCACTCTGGGATCTCATCTTACCTACTGAAATCAGGAAGCCCATCTCAATAGCAGCATTCCCCACTATCGTCCTTGGCCTACAGAAAACAGCCAGCTGGAGATATTTATGATTGCTTGGCTCTCTTGGTAATGCATTTCCCAATGCTTTGGTGAAATGAATATTCCTTGGACATTTTCAGAGCCTAGTGGGGTAAGGAAAGATGCACAGGTTACACATGATAAATTACTCCATTATCTCTACCTTTCTAACCCTTTAGAATTCTTCCTGTACATTATGTCAGAGAAATTCTGTCCATGGAACATCATTGAATGTAGCTTACAGTAGAGCACAGGTTTCAGGCAACGAAGTAAGCCAATAGAGCCACCCCTATCTGTTTAAGAATACATGTGTTTCAGCTAGCTCTTGCTGTGTAACAAAACTTAGTGGCTTACATTTATTATTTGTGTTTTTATGATTTTATAGCTTAAACAATTTGTGCTGGGCTCAGCTGGTGGGAGTCATTTTTGCTTTACATGGGCTTGCTTATGCATTTGCAATCAGTTGACAGATTGGCTGGAGGATGCTGGTCTTAGATGACTCACATGTCTTAGAGTTGGTTCGGGCTACTGGCTGAGCCATGTGTCTCCAGGTTAGTCTATACTTCTTCAGCATGAAAGCTGGTCCATACATGGCACAAAAGAAGGCAAGCCCCAGTGTGCAAGTGCTTTTCAGGTTTCTGCTGGCATCACATTTGCTAATGTCCCATTGGCCAAAGAAAGTCAGAGAGCCATGGGGGAACCAAAGTGGCCTGATTCCCTGGGGACTGTTACTATAACAATCTGTCATAGCATTAAGTCCAAAACTCTATGAAAGCTGTATTATATCTAGGTTCCCTAAATTTGGCCCCAACCCAATGTTCTGTTCTGAGGATATCTAATACCCTTAGAATCCATCCACGTATCTATGAGCTAGGTTTCTTCTAATATAAATTTAAGAAAGGAGGGGGATAAGGGAGGAAAGAAGGGGAAGGGCCTAGCTGAAGAACAAGTACAAATGACCCATGGACATGGACAACTGGAAGGGGATTGACTGTGGGAGTGGGGAGTGGGTGGGACAAGAGAGCACAATGGGGAAAATCAGGACAACTGTAATAGAACGACAATAAAAATAATAACAAAATAAAAATTTAAACTTGGTGTAGAAGAAAAAAATATTGTAAGTTTTCTGGAGTATAAGCCTTTTACTCCTCAGCTAGATTCTGCCCCTGTACCTGCAAATATGTTGGAATCTGAGCCTAGACAAAACCCAAAGGCCATGACAGTCTGTCTTCATGATTACAGGATGGCTCTCAGGAGTTACAAAACCTTCTATGTTCAAATTCAAGAAAAAAAGAGAGAGTATTTTCTTGAGAATTCCAAAAAAAAATCCAAAGACATGCTCTGGACAAGTTTACATCATCTGCCCTTTCCTAAACCAATCACTGAAACAAAAAGAATATGTGAGTAATGTCTTGAGTCTGGAGCTCCATTTACAACATTTGAACCACAGTAGGATGTCTAATAGGTCCCCCAAGTAGGAATGGATGCTGGAGAGGTAGACACCAATGTCCACTACCAACACCATTTATTGAATCAGTCGACAACGGATGAGCTCTTACTATACACAGGACTCTATGTTAAGGGCTAAGAATCAAAGATGGCTATGTCATGGTCTTATCTTCAAGGAATTCACAACTAGCCTGAGAAATAAAAATTGAATGTAACCCTGGGATGTGCTAAATGTTGGGACAGATGCATCGAATCAAAATGATAACCTTTGTTCTGAGGTCCTGAAAGTGTCAAAATGTATTTATGGACTTTTCCTGGAATGTAGAGCACAGGATGTCAGGAGCCTATTCTTTAAAAAAATCACTATCGCCTTGGCTGGTGTGGCTCAGTGGATTGATTGACTGCCGGCCTGTGAACCAAAAAAATCACTATCATATAAGACCTATGAGGAAAAGCACTTCCAACTTTGAGATAAAGTGTCACATTTTCAGAAGTTAATCATCCCATTTTTCCTGATAGTATATTTCTGACTATCATGGCATATAAATGTGTTAAAGTTCTAGGGAGGGTTAGACTATACATTCCTCCTTTTGTTGATCTTGAAATACCAGATGGCCCATGTCATGTTGCCAGTAGCCATCATGAGGTTAATTGAGGTTATCATTATAGCTAACTTTTTTTAGAGAGGGGAAGGGAGGGAAAAAGAGAGGGAGAGAAACATCAATGGTGGTTGCTTCTCATGTGCCGGCAAATGGAGACATGGCCCATAACCCAGGTATGTACCCTGACTGGGAATCCAAGCAAGGACACTTTGGTTCGCAGGCTGGCACTCAATCCACTGAGCCACACCAGCCAGGACCATTATAGGTAACTTTCATACCATGTGCCAGACATTGTTCTAATTGCTTTACTGCATTATCTCATTTAAACACAATTCAATAAAGTAGGGACTATTCTTCTCTCCATTTTACATGTAAGCAAACTAAGGCCCAGTGAAATTTGATAAGTTGCTCATGTTACATAGCAGAGCTAGTCTTAAAGTTCTGCAAGCTAACCATGTGACAAGAAATCAGAACCTAGACCTGTGACACAGTCAAGCTCTTGTCATATGGTATTTTTTAATTATATGTGTGTTCGTTTTTCTCCAAAAGTCTCTTAGATGCCTGGGAACAGAAGTAGATTTTTATGTATTTAAGTAGTTTCAGAAACCAATACAAAAAATGGTACATAGAATATACTTAGCAAATATTGTGGAATTGAAATGAAGGCAATGTGCACGAAGTCTAGGAAAGAGGTCAGCATGGCGAAATGTGTTAGTGAATCCCAAGCCTGTCCAATGGAGAAGCATCCTTGGCCCATACATTCCTATCACCTGTCTGGTCTGTCCCTGTAGTGGCAATGAATGCATCAGATTCACACAGCCTGATGATATCAGTCACTGAAATCATTCCGGCCACCATTCCCACTCCTTGCCCCATCCTAACTCCATCGTTACCGAGAACCTGATTATAATTTCACTTCTCACGTAGACTTTTCTATGGGAACAGAATGTTCTGAAGCAAGTTTCTGATTTGCAGGTTAATGGTATTTTATTTTCTTATTGTAGAAAAGTGTTTTCAAAGTTTGGTTAGCACCACCCAGTCTTTTAGTCTAATTCTGAGCACACAAAATCACATTTCTGAACTTTTAAGATAAGACCTTGGTGATGTCAGCAAGTAAGTGTCTTTTATAAGGGTGCTTCTGGTGGCCATCAGCTGCTTCCCATAATATCATGTCTGTAACTGTGTATTCTCAACAGCAGGCTCCTCTTAGCAGAAGTAACTCTAAGACAGTAGCATGTTTTCTGCTTAGTTCTGTTTGTTCTATAAAAATAGAATTCTGTGTTAAAACAGAACATCTACAAGAGTCCAGAGGAAGCAACAAATGCCTGGAATTTTGAGTAGTTCAGATCGAGGAGAAATGGAATTAGGCACAATCAAAACAGGTAGCTGCCCAGGGTCTCAGTTCTCCTTGCTTCAAATTTCAGAAAATAAAATGCTGAACTCACAGGTAATTTAAAATTTAAATCAAACAAAACTTAAGTAGGTCTTTTCAATCATTATAATGGGAAAGCTTTTAAGATCATAACAGAATATGTTGTTAAATTGGTAGATTCATAAATTGTCAGTGGTCATATAAATCAGTACATACAATTGTTTTGGAGGGTGATTTGTCCATAGATAAGAGGCCATATGATTTGTCATACCATTTGTTCAAGTAATTATACTTACTGTGCTGTTTGGACTATATGACGCACTTTCCTTCTCAAAATTGGGAGGAAAAGAGGGATGCATCTTATAGTCCAAATGTAGCTTACCTGGCTCGCTGTGGGGCAGGGGGACCGGCAGCCTATGTTATTTATGTTATTAAATATTTTACCACAGTTTTTGCTTCAAAAAATTTTTTTCCTATGTTCTTCCTCTAAAACCTAGGTGTGTCTTATGGTCTGGTGCATCTTACAGTTGGAAAAATTCGGTGCATAAATCTACTCTAAGAAAATAATCCAAAAAATTTAGAAAAGGCTAAAGACATGGAAGCACATATAAATATATGATTTTTAAAAAGAAAGTTTTGACATAACTATGAATGAAAAAAAGCAAAGTACAAAAAATTTGCTCAAAAAACCACATCAAGCTTCATACTTTTACCCCAAAATACCACTCCAAGGATTTTTCTAATGGAAATCTATAGACTAAAGTGAAACATGTATTATATGAAAAATAATACATTAGTTACAGTATTATGTAGATGGTTCCAAATTGGAAATAATCTGTCAAACAAAATAAAAATGAACTAGTCAGTGATTTATATTTGCATTACCCTACTATCTAGCCATAAAATGGCAGTAATGGAGATTATAGAAGTATGAAATCATTGCTATAATTTTAAGTGAAAAAAAGTTTCTGTACATTGAGCACTTACTCTGAGTTTATCACTGTATTACTCAACTTACATACATTATCTCTTTTCATGCTCACAGAACCCAATGAGTAGGGATGAGAAATTCGTACAGATGAGAAAATTGAGGCAAAGTTGCTTAGTAATTTTCCCAAGTCCATACAGTGGAGCCCAGAGTCAAACCTAAGCTAACTGTTACCAAAGCCACTTCTCTGTACCTGAAATTCTATAAAAGCCCTAGACCCCTGAGGATAGTAAGTGACGGTAAGGGGAGGAGAGAGAGAGAATCAGAATGGGGCAATGATGTGAGTGGTCTTGTAATAATTGTTTGCTTTGAATTCTAATGTTAAATCCAACAAATAAATAAATAAATAAGAAGAGAAAAGCGAGAATAGGACTAAAGGCTGGAAAGACTTTATGACTTTGTTAAAGTGTGGGGTGGTGTGTAATTTCCTCCTTTTTTCTATTTTGTAAGATTGTTGGTAGTGTATCATACTTTTGTAAGATATTTTATACAGCTTGCTTGTGCAGCACATACTGGAAGGATACAGAGAAGATGGGCACGACCCCTGCTGAAGGATGACATGCAAATTCATGAACCATTCCATGTTAAACATATGTACATGTCCTTTGAAATATTTGTCCTCTGGGATATGAAAGCTGGAGCTCTGTGCAGCTTGGTGATCAGTGAGACACTGTGATGTCCTGAAATAGCAGTGGTACTCCTGGCAATAAAAGTGTCATTAGGAATATAAATATCTGTCATTTCTTTAGAAAAATTTTGGGATTACGTTTACAGAGTCCCCCACTTTATTTTTACACATTTGGAAAATCTAAAAGCTCATATCCTTCCCTTTTTTCCTTCCTTCCTCTCCTTTGCTTTCTCAACTGTAAAGTTAGAATGGTACGAACAGTAGCCATGAGATTATGAGGAATTCTTATTTTGTTTGTATGTTTCCTGTATTTGAAAGGATTTAAAACACAATTAACATTTTTAATTTGAAAAATAACATTTAAAATTAATGTCTTAAATTATCTTAAGTAGCAAACTTATTTAATATTTTGAAACTTTAGAATTGTATTGTCTGTCTGTTGAAAATCAAAAGTCACTCAAATACCAAATATAGTAGTATGTCAGCCAAAATTTTCCTATGTACAGCCCATGTTTTTTCCCCTACATCAGGTGCAAAGTTTCACCTGTGTTTTGAAGCTACTCTGAAGAGAAAATAAAAGACAAGCTTACTAAGTGAAAGTTTGAAAAAGTACTGGGGTTGCCAGCATCCTGCCTGCTTAATCAGACGTCACCTCAGCTTCTGCAGGCAACGCATGACTGGGCTGCAACTGGGCATCTGACTCACATGTGATAGGATGAGCCACTTGTGTCTTTCCAAGCAATGCTCTGGGGAGTTGTCCTCAAGAACCACTCTCCTGAAAGCAGAAAATTCGAGGGGAGGGAGGGAGAAGGTTTTTCTAAAGCACAAAAACTTTTCTGAGTTTTCTAAGATGAAAACAAGGACAGGACAGGGAGTGCTGGATGCTGGAATGTGACATTTGAAAGGCGTGAGGGAAAATGGCAGTCTGACAGGCAGTTATCACCCCCCCAAGAGG